TTTCAGTGGGGCAGCTCACATCCTGCTGCTTCGGTGATCTGGGCAGGAGAGGGAGGAATCAGCTTCCTCCTTCCCAGAATTCTCCTGTTCTCCTTGCATCATTTCCACTTCCTGTCTGGTTTTCCCGCCTACACCTCCTACCTGGCCAATCAGCGTTTATTTAAAACATGATTGACAGAATACAGACAATTCTCCCGCACCAACCCGGATTTTCCATGTCCAGGATTCCCTCCCTTGGTGTTTTCTTTATTGCTTCCATTTCCATTTTCAGGTCTTGGTTTTTTTCATGTTTGTTTTTACTTGGCTTTCTTTTAGGGATTTACTGCCTTCTTCCAATTCTTTGTCTTTTTCAATTTCTTTAAGGGATTTTTTTTCATATCCATTTTAAGGACCTCTATCATCTTCATAAAATCATTTTTAAGGTCATTTTCTTGTGCTTCAGCTGTGTTGGAGTTTTCAGGTCTTGCTGTCATAGGGTACCTGGGCTCTAACGGTGTCATATTGTCTTTTCTGTTATTGTGCTCTTTCACTGGAGTTTAGGCATCTGGATTTGGGGCGATCACAGGTCTGGATGTTGATTCTTGCATTTGTCTTTGTTGGATGGGTATTTTGTTCCTGGTTTCTCTTTCCTCTCTGGTTTTATGGCCTACCTGGCCTGCAGTTCTGGTGACTAGCATGTCTTTAGGTCCAGTAGGATGTACCCTCTGAGGTTTTGGGAGCTAGGAGTGCCTAGGTCTAGCCTGGCCTCTGGTAAAGCCAAAATCTTTCAAAGTTATAAACCAAGATATGGAACCCAGGGGAGGGAGTGTAGACTGGGGTCCCCAGATTTGATCTGGCAGGCTTTAAAAGGGGTTTAGTAGGCAGTGGGCAGTTTCTTACCTGGGGTTCCTAGGATCAGCCTGGCCTCCCATAAAGCTGCCAGAGCTGTGGGCCCCAGTATGGAGTCCAGTGGAAGTGGTGCAGTCTGGGGCTATTGGGCAGGTTTTAAGAAGTTTTAGCTGGTGGTGGGTGGTGTCTTACCTGGGGTTCCCAGACTAGTTTCTGGTGCTTTAAATAATAAATTATTTAACCTTGCAAAAATCCATTAACAGTAGATTTCAAAGAAATACTGTTAGAAGAGGCTGGAGAGAGGACTCAGTGGTTAAGAACACTGGCTATTCTTCCAATGGACGAGGTTCAATTCCAGCACATACATGGTAGCTCACAGCTGTCTACATTCCAGTCCTGGGGGAGCCAATGCTATCTTCTGGACTCCTTAGGCACTAACACACACACATACACACATACACAGGCAAACACCCATACACCTGAAAAGAATTTATTTTTTTAAAAAAAATATAGCTAGTAAACAAAACAAAAATCAAGAATTTAAACGAAAACTTTCTGAACCAAAAGAGTATACTCTTACGGCAATGTAGCTGAAGACTCTCTACAACATGAGTCAATTGTGTTTTTAACTATTTACAACACATTCTTAGTTTATACTTGTGTGTGTGTGCATACAAATGTACATACATAAAATTCAAGGGCGAACATTTAAAAATTCCTCTCCATTCTTGGTAATGATTCACATTTCACACAACATTTTCCTTGCTATTTAAACTCTTTTTAAATAAATGTTACGTTTATAATTTGTAAATAAATTCTTTCAAAAGTCCTGATCACACAGTTAAATATTTATTCATCTTCTAATTTCAGGGTACTCTTCAATTAATTAAACCCAGAAACTCTAAGTGATGTAAGACTTTTCTCAAAAACTAAATCCCTCTCAATTCCTAACGACTGCTTGCATTTCTCTTCATTGCATTTTATATGTCTCTAAGATAGAAATGTACCAAAACCTTCCAGTAAACCCTAGAATTAAAACTAGCAGGATATTTTCAGCTTTCTTACTACTCTAAACCATTCCTGGTCAATTATTCTTAGGAACAAGCACGGGGACGAAGAGCTCAACTCTCCTGCTTGTGCAGTTTGAGAGCAGTCACAGCGGATGCCAGCCTAGACAGCGGTGAGGAGCAACTGCAGCCGCCGTGCGCACTACACACACTACCTATCCACGCATCCATTCGGTAACCCTGATATTCAGGCAGCTTGACAAGACAATGGAATCATGTAAAGAGCACTTCTGCACAATCCCACAGGCTGGGGTCCCATTCAGAAAGAAAGGAGAATGAGAAAGAGAGCTGAACACCATCACTCCTTCCTCCCTTCCTTCTCTCCTTCCTCCCTTCCTCCTCCCTCACCCCCCGGCTCCAGGCACATGTAACCAGCTATTTTCTGCACCTGATGCCAGGTCTTGGCTATCCCTGGGCTATGCCCTCAAACTGGGCAAAAATAAAGCCTTTCCTCCTTAGGCTGCCTATGGTGAGGTTGCTCACAGCCAGCAGGAAAGGCACAAAGACTGCATATATTTACTGGCTACCCACCATAGGTAGCACCCACACTGTGCTCAATACTCAGAACAAACCAGAACAAAAGAGAAAAGCTCATTCTGTTAGAGGAGAGCGCCAAAGAAAACTTTACCTTAACATGTACTAAATTAATACTGTCATATTAGAAATTACCAATGCTATTGAAGTCAGGATTAGACAGGGCATGGCGTCTTTGTTGTTTTGAGTTTTCTATTTCTCCAGTGAAAAAAATTAGTTCACTGTCTTACTGAATTGCACATTACAACCTGCAGTTATAACAGGGACCTAATAACTTTTTTGGGGGGGAGGGGAATGCCACAGGGCACATGTGGAGGTCAGAGAACAGTTAGCAGGAATCAGTTCTCTCCCCGTCAGCAGGCTTGGCAACAAAAGCCCTCCCACCCCCAAGTCACATTTTTAAATAACACTTTCATGATTTCATTATAACATAAACCCAGGCCAGTCATGAGGACATATAGGAGGTAGGAGATTCACAAATCTGAGGCCAGCCGCAGGTGATATTAGGGACCCATCTCAAACAAAACAACAAAACAAAATGCCTATTGTTGGAACTGTGTTAGAGCTTAAGCCCTGCAGTACACAGCTTAAGCTGTGGTTTAACCAACAGTACTGTGAGATACCCCAGGGAAGTGTTTTAGTACACCTTTAGGGTACTTACGGTAGAACTGAGATGTGATATCCCATGTAGCTCCTCCCCAACTTCATAGCCTCTAATCCCCACAACCTTGACCTGGGTGTGTATTTGATGCATGGTGAAACCCTATGGTTACAATAGCGTCTCACTAATGGAGCAATGAGATTTCATGTAAAGAACAACTTGATTCTGAAGGCATCACTGAAAAGCCTGCTCACTAGTTACACACAGAGCCCAGGTATAGAATGAGAACTCAACTGCAGTGTCCCAGTCTACATGCTACAGAGCCAAGACACTAAAATGGAGGCCACTCAGCCTCCTTACACCCTCCTCCCCGAGGCATTTCCTTCCTACTAAACCAAGACTTCCAAGAACCATAAACAAGAGATTGGTGAACTACATGTCACAATCAAATGCATTTACTCGTTGTGTAGCAAAATAATGTTATTTAAGCTATGTTAGATGAAGGAAAACTGTGCTTGGAGACTCCATACAGTATGAGCGGGGCAGAGCTAGCCAGAGCAAACGTAAGCTGGGGCTAATGTAAACGTAAAATGTCCTGGGGCTGCCAGGAGACACCTCACCTCCTGTAAAAACAGAGCACCCAAATTAGAACCAAATTCAGAAGGACAGGGAATATGGTCAGATCCTAGCTCTTTCCTCCATTAAACTGACTACTATTGGTTATATGAAATCCATGGATATGATTAAAACAGGGAGGTTACTGCAGGCCTTAGGAGGTGGAGAGGATGAGAAGGACACAGTTTACCACTGCCAGCTTTGAAGACGGAAGCAGCAGCTCCTGAGTCGGAGCACTGTGTCCCCACAGGAGGAAACAATGAGGAAAGTCATTCCCCAAAACATATAGAATTGAAACTTTCAATATCTTCTTAAGACTTAGACACTTAGACTCCTACTGTGCAATCTTGTATAGCCAATATGAAAATCAGTGTGGCAGTGCCTCAGGAAGATGGGAATCAATCTACCTTAAGATCCAGTCACACCACTCTTGGGCATCTACCCAAGGATGCTTAATCATACAAGGACACTTGTTCAACCATGCTCACTGGTGCTCTAGTCATAATAGCCAGAAATCTGAAACAACCTAGATGTCCCTCATCAGAAGAATAGATAGTGAAAAAATGTGGTACATTTACACAATGGAACATTACTCAGCCGTTAAAAAGTGAAATCTGCAGGTAAATGGGTGGAATTAGAAAAATTATCCTGGGTGAGGTATCCCCGATCCAGAAAGTGGTGCGGCTGGAGAGGAGGATTAAGTGGGGAGAGGGAAGAGAGAAGGGACTGAAGGAGGAGATTTTGGGAGGGACAACTAAAATTAAGGGCCATTTGAGAGGTACTATGAGAACCTAATATAGCAGAAGTTTTCTAAAATATATACATAGATGAAGGCAATCCAATAGACATCACAAACAATGGGGGAGACAGAGTCCCAACTGGCCATTTCTTGTCATCAAATGAGGCTTGCAGTCCCAGGACTGAGTTACATCTAATTGAGCTGTTGGCTAAAGGAGTCTCATGGGAGTTCAAACTACCCCCGCTGTTGCTATGACTATAGGTTGCTCCCCACAAACTGAAAGCAAGGCCCGGGAGCTGAAGACAGCAACGACACAACTCATTGACCATGGAGAAGTCAAGCTGGTGCCTACATAGCTACATTTTAGCATATTTGGTACAGGAAGGTCCTCTGCATGGTATCAAAGGGAAACATAAACACCCACCCAGCCTCAAACCCTCGACCTAAAATGGTGTCCTGCCTGCAGGATGTGCTAGAGCAGCG